CACAAAGACACTGTTTCAGAGGTGTTTTGAGGTGACCTCTGAAACTAATGTAATCCTCAAGGAGTTCTGGAAGGAACATTCAACATCCCCACTTGCTTGAGGCTAATAAAGCATGGGCGGAGTGTCTTCCAGGACCGTGCCATCAGCCTGGAAGAAATTGTGGCCTGCGTCTATTGCTGAGGGAGACTTTGAGGTCTTTGAGGATGAGCTGGTGTCTGTTGTAGAGGATACTGTGTCTCTGGGCAAGTCCATGGGTTGAAGATGGGTGATGACGATGAGGAGGAGTTGGTGGAGGACCACAACACTGAGCTGACCACCCAGGAACTCCAAGACCTTCAGAGCAGCGGACAGTAGCTGAGGAGCTCTGTGGAGAGGAGAAGGAGGCAAAGGAGGGTATTCCTATTTCACTAATCCAGGAAATGCTTGGAAAATGGGGAGAAATGCAAAGTTTTATTGAAATAACTGTATCACCCTGACAAAAAAGCAGCAAAGTGTGCAATAAGCTTGTTCGGTGACAATGCAGTGTTTCACTTCAGGTAAGTGTTAAAATACAGGCAAAAACCAAACATCCTTGAATAGGTTTTTAGTGAGAAAGAGGCCCGGTGAGCCTGAAGCAAGTTCTAGTGGAGCAGAGAGACAAAAACGAGAAAGAACCCAGATGAATAGCTAAGCTACCTGAGGTTTCCACGGAAGGGACTCTCCTCCCAAACAACAGTCCTCCATCCCTTGCTCCCTATTCAGCCATCAGCTCTCAACATTAACGGTAAGTTCCAGTGTGTATGTAAATTCTCATTTGTACTGTCCATTTCATTTTCTTTTTGCTAAATTTTCACTTATATTTCATGTTCTTTTGTTTTTAAATGTTTATTTATAGATTAAATAGAACATTTAATATGTACTCTATATAAGTAAGGTTTAAACAAATCATTTGGAGATCTGGATCAGATTAATTCAATTTACATTATTTCTAATAGGAATAAATTATTTGGTTTTTAAACAAATTGTTTCTAAAATCAAGAAACAATTCTTGAACTTCCAGAATTAAGTTCAAGAACCAAGGTTACATTATATTTCTAATAATCTGGCTAGTTATCATACTTTAGCTGGCTTTGGACAGAAAGCTAGCACCACTATAGAACTAGTCCAATATTACCCACCCTCTCCATCAACCCATCATAAGGAAGTGCAATATACAAAAAGACAACTCTGGCAATAACAATTACCCAAATGTGACAGCCTAAGCAACAGGCCATTAAACAAGGCAAAACAGGGAAGGGTTATTTATGCCTTATCACTAGCAAGCAGACAAAAGGGTAAATATCAATTAATGCTTGTCTGAGTGTCACCCATATATCCAGCACTGTGGAGTTGAGAGACAGAAGGGTAATAAGATACACAGTCCTTGTCTTATCTTCCTAGTAAGATAAGGTACCACAAATGAAGCATTTAGAGAACAAGACAAGTATCAATCTGTATCCTGAAAATAATATATTCTATCAGAATTCAGAGAGGACACAACAAAACAACAGTAAGGAATTAAGAGCCAGGAACCACACAAATCAAGAATAGGACTAGGACTTGAATCTCCCACCATTTAAAAGAATTTTAATGGCAGGTGTAATTAACCACAAATGCAACTATCAAATCACTTCCCTTAGCTCCTGTTGTCTCCTTATGTGCAAAGTGAGGGTGTGAGATTCAAAGAGGAGTTGGAGGTCACAGTCTCTAACCTGAAATGGGCCTTAGGTTAGAGGGGTGATGAAAACTGAAATTCAGCTGTAAGAACTGCATATACAGTTAGCATGGATATAGGGATACTGCCTTAAGTGCAGTGGAGTACTGGTGCTAGGGTGGATCTGGGAAACTAAGACTGGGCCAGACATGAGGAACCCAGTCAAAGAACTGGGATTTGCCTCTGTGTCAGGCAATATAACCTCAGCTAAAACTTTCAGTTTAAATTGAAATGATATATCTGCCAAAGAAATACAATGTGTAAAAAACAGAGGGGCAGCCACAAACTGTAACAGCACAGTGACAGACTTAAGAAAACAAGATTTAGTAATTCAGCATAGCCGTTGACCGCTAGGAAATGCCAACAGTCAGACTGTCATAATCAGAGGTGAAAGTTTGATTTTGCAAAGGAATTACACAGCTCAGTCCCCCTTTAAAAACCATCCTTGAAAATAGCAGCCACCTTCACTAGCCATACAGAAAAGCATGCAACAAACACTTTACATCCGTCTTAGTTACAGTCACAAGCTGGAGGGCTCCAAACAGGGAAGGAAAAATTACTAGGTGGTGCTAAAAAAATGCTGAATAAGCCCCAGTACTTTTATTCCTTTATACCCGGTTTAATAATGTTTTCATGGGGGTGAGGAGGAGTTACGTTTTATAACGTCACAACTATATTTACCAATTAGCTGAACTGTGTTGCTTAGAACTCATTCGCAAAACTGGAGATAAATGGGTTTCAAAAAAACATGCCTCTCAAGCAAAAAATTAACCGGAACTGCAATGCCCCTCTTTCTAATGTGCCACCTACTACAGCAGTACGTAAGTGGCACAAGCTGGATGTGTGATCTAGTTCAATGCAGAGTGCCATCTGCTGCACATACACAGGATGTCTCCTAAGCAAGATTCAACCTTAGTGTCTCTCAGGGACTTTGATAGAGCAAGTTGTTTCCCAATTTGCCTAATACATGTGCCTCAAACAACACCTCCTTATAGAAGAATTCCCATTCATGGGGTTTTATAATACTAATACTTTTCTAACAAACAGTGTGAGGGAGGAGAGAGATGTGAAGGAGCACTTCATAATAATAAGAACACAATAAGGGAGTCAAAACATTGGGAGGGGGGAGAGTCTCAAAACTATTCATATTAGTTAGTTGTGTAATTCTGGTCACATCTTTCCCATTCTTGGGCCTTAATTTCAGGCATAAAAATTAAATCTCTAAGAGATACCTTTCAAATGGAGTCTTGTAAGAAATCATAGTATAACAAATGGAGGCCGCTGTATAAATAATGGCTTCAGAACACACACACACACAACCTCTTTACATGTTTTAAATAATCAGTTGTAAAATTTGGGGGGGGGGGGGAATTCATTTACAAGTCACCATTCCCATAACACTTCTGCCCTTCAGAAATAACACTTCGCATTCATTGTTCTTTCCATTACAAATTCAGCACATTACTTTTACCTACCCAGAATAGCACAGCAGAACACTTCCATGAAGTACCCACACAAGGAACACACAGCCTTACAGAGTCTCATAAAGGAAAATGTACAAGGCACAAATTTAAAAATTCAAAGCTCCATGAATACCACATCCAAATTGTCTTAAAAACAAACTGTGCAAAATCAGCAGATGTGTAAAAAAAAAAAAAAATATATATATATATATATATATATATATATATATATATATATATATATATATATGGAGATAATGACAACTTGGGAAGCCTTTAAATTATTTGAGAGGGAAATACAATCAGATTGTTGGGTGCCCATGTGTTTTATGAGAAGACATAACTGGAGGCTATAAAACATGCAAAACGCAATTGAACTGTGAAGAAGCTAGGCTCTCACCCAAAAGCTTCAGCAGAGCAACATGTCAGCATGGCAAACATGAAGAAGTACAATTTTCTCGCAAGAGTAAGAACAGGGTCCATATCTACGACTGATAATGACAATACCATCTTGCGCTTACAAAGCTCTTTCGGACACTTAATTTTCTGCTGTCACGGGTCTTGGGGTATCCTCTCTGAGAACCCCAGTCCAGTTTCCTCTCCATGGCCATGCAATCAGCACACGGGGGGAGGTGGATGCACATTTGTGGAGGGCTGAGGGGACCAGCTTCTATCCGGCTGGGCTGTCTGCAGTGATTCTCTCCTGAACACACTACACAGGACTCAGCCCCAGGGCGTGAAACCTACACGCTTTCTCTCTGAATTGGCCAGAGACCAGCACATATGGGTCTAGCAAGTGCAAGGGAAGAGAACCTGCAGACTCGTTAGGTCTAGAACTCCATGGCAAGTGGATCTCTTGCAATTGAAAAAAAAAAAAAAATCACACACACACACACACGCTTGCACGCACATGCACACACACACACACACACACACAGACAAACTGTTCAGACATAAACTCCCCGGTCCTTGCCAGCCAATGAAAACCAGCAATAACTGACTTCAGACAACCACCAAATCCGACTCCCTGAATAACTTGTCCTATTGGCTTCCCTCTAGCCTGCTGCCCACTCTCTCCTTCCAGGCCCCCGGAGCAAGTTTAAGGCACCGGCCCTCCGAAGGGGGACGACCCCCGGGCACCTTGAAGGGCCGGGGAGGGATGGAGCCAGCCTCCTGAAGCAATGCAGCATCCCTGGCGAGGGCGCCGCTCCCCGCGCCCACGCACGCAGGAAGTCGCCGGGAGGGATAAAGTTTGATCTCGCTCCTCGCCCATCCCCGGAGGGCAGAGAGAGAGGCCCGGGAGCGGCGCCGCGGGTGCCGGCGGCTCTCCGGGGACAGTTCCCAGAAGCGGGCGCTGCCCCTCTGCCGGCGCGCGCGCGCACACACACACACACACACACTCACACACCGGCCGCACCGGGGGCCGGGGGCCAACTTGCACCGGGCTCCGTGCGGGAGCAGCGGGGCAGGGCTGTGCAGGGACAGGAGGGAGGGACCGCGGCCGGGGGGCGGGTCAGCGAGAGGTTCAAGTCCCTGCCTTCCCCGCCCCGGTGTCCCCGGTCCTGCGGGAACATCCCCGCCGTCGCCCCTCCTCCTCGTCCTCTCGGCTTCCTCCGCTCGCCCTCCCTTCCTGGTCGCCGCCGCAGGCGCCTGAAGGGCACGGCGGCCCCGCGCTGCCCGGCGGCCCCGGGAGCGGCCGCGAGTTGAGGGAACTCGCCCGCTGCCCGGGCGGGCCTGCCTACCGGCGGCTCCCACACGCCAGCGCCGCCCCGCCCTCCCCGGAGCCGCCGGGCGCGCTCGCTCACCGTCCGGTGGTGCTGCTGCTGCTGCTGCCGGTGGCGGCTGACGCCCAGCCCGGGGAAGCAGCCGGCTGTCAGCGCGCCGCAGCCGCTGGCGCCCGCGCCGCCGCCTCGGGAGGACAGGAACAGCAGGAGCGATCTACCTGCGGCGGCCGCCATCTCTCAACTGGAAACGGCGCCGACCCAGGCAGCGCAGCGGACGGCCGGGGCGGAGCTAAGGCCTGCCACTCACCAAAGCCGGGCCAACGGCAGCCCTGGCCTGAGTTGAGGGGGCGGGGCTTCCTGCAAGGTCCAATCGAAGGGCGGGAGAAACACACTGGAGGCTGCCTGTCACTTCCAGAGTTACCTATGGTGGGACCTAGTCAATTACGGGCAAATTCTAGGGAACTGGTAATTGTCACTCGAGCCCCTCAGAATAGCAGCAGCGGAGATGGCATATTCGATTGGGCTCATCTACACCGAGGATAGAGCTGTGCTAAGGGTAATTGGGAAAATAGGCATGTGTGCAAAGCTGTGTACTCTGGGAGTGTGCTAAGTCGCCAAAATAGTCACCAAATTAATAATAATTAACGAGGCATGCTTGGAACTTTCAACAACAGGTCCAGAATTATTATTCATCACTGATGGCATTTGGATATGCTGAAATGAACCCTACATCAGAGGGTGATCTAATGACTGTGATAAGTAACATAGTATAGGAGGGGTAGAATGATTATGATATCAAAGTCCCAGAATGAGTACATGCCATTGGAATGAGTTAACAGACGTGTGTATATTTTAAATACTCAATTCATTTTTAGCACCTTTATATTGGTATTCTTACACTCTCCAGAAGCACTACTCTCTATTTTCTTACCATCTTTGACCTTTTGTGCACTTGCCAGTATTAAACTATAGAAACAGAACATGTTGATAATGAATAAAATCATATAATGGTTATTTTAATGAATTTTCAAAGTTTAGCGAAAGTAGGCATTAGAAAATGCTTTGGAATAACATTGATCACTTTCTCTTGAAAAATACTTCTTTCCACAAGAAGCAAGGTCATCCTGAGAGCTCATTAAAGACTGTAAAAAATAAGATTTGGGGTTCCTAAATCTCCTTAGAAGATAATTTTTCCTTACTGTCTGTTTTTATTATGAGCTGGTTAATTCTCACACCTCCTTTTAAAATATGGGGCAAGGAAAACAGTTTGGTAAGCAAATAAAAGTATTGTTCTTAATTTTGGAAAACACTTTTTGAAGAGTAGCCTTAGATATCGATAATAAAGAAACAAACAACAAAAACATACAAACACAATTTTATTATGTCACTTGTTCTAATAATATTCTTTAAAGCTTGACCGAGCTGAAACCGGTTTGGCTCAGTGGTAGAGCGTCGGTCTGGGGACTGAAAGGTCCCAGGTTTGATTCCAGTCAAGGGCATGTACCTTGGTTGCGGGCACATCCCCAGTAGGGGGTGTGCAAGAGGCAGCTGGTAGATGTTTCTCTCTCATCGACGTTTCTAGCTCTCTATCTCTCTCCCTTCCTCTCTGTAGAAAATCAATAAAATATATATATTTTAAAAAATAAAAAATAAAAAACAAAATAAAGCTTGACCGAAATGGTACTTTTTTGACAGTTGATAAGTATTGGTTAGCTTAATCCTTCCACCCCACTTCAGGACAGGACCGTAAAATGATTGACTGGTTAGGATGAGACTATCAAGCCACACACCCAAAAGGCATTTATTGCCCAACAGTGAAACCTGAGAGCTTAAGAATGAGATGAGCCTCCCATTTAACAGCTGCACACACTAACCTCCTAAGTTGGAAATCTCTGACCTTCCTGAAACAACTTCACTTACAGTTGTTTTCCACCCATCTATATTTATCTCATCTGTATTTTAGATGTTATCCATGCTATGCCAATGCCATTTCCTCTTCTCTCTTTTTCCTTCACATCTTCTTACTAAGATTATCATGGGCTTTAGTTTTGTTTCTATTGCCAGTGCCTTCCTCAAATATGTCTATGAATCAGGATTGTGCCCTCCATCTCCATCTTACACCTTGAGAAGTTCTATTGGAATTGCTGTTTTCTCTATTTTTCAAGTATAAAAATTAGACGTGCGTCCTGCAGTACTGATATTTAGTTCTGCATATTTGCACAATGACCACAATAAATAGGGGTGTGATTTTTACGTGCATAAACCTGAAACGGGAGGGATTACCAAAACCTCCTTCTTATCTATTTACCAAAATGTGCCATCTTTTATCTACAAAGATGAAACCACTGATGCACCACAGGTAAACTGTGTAATTTGAGGATCCATTGACTAAACTGAGTTATAATAATCCAGTGCTAGAAACTAATCTAAACAAGTGTCAATTGTCTCTTCATAAAGAAGATATTTTCCATATATGCAAAGGACGTAACTCACATTGGCTGGCTGACCAGGCCCCAGAAAGAGAAAGTGTAGGTAGCAGAAAGTCATCCTCATAACTTTAAAATATATATATGAAGGGAAAAGGAATTCATATATGTATATAAAGGGAAAAGGAATTAATATTTATCAACTACTTGCTATGTCAGACACTGTGCTGGTCCTCTAGAGATATAAAATTTATAAGGGATGGTAAAGCAACCAGAAAAAAACTTTAAAATATCAGAACTTTTGAAATAAAATGTTGAAGAAAACTTAGATATCTTTCAATAGGGAATTAGTTAAATTAGAGAATAACCCTGTAACCGAATATACACAATAATTTTTAAATGAATTGTCAAATATTGTAATAACTGTGTATGGTGTCAGATTGGCACTAGACATTCTGACTTGATCACTTAAGTTATATAATGTCTAGTCACTATGTTGTACACCTGAAACTAAGATCATATTGTATGTAAACTGTAATTGAAAAACAAAAAAGAATTATCCCATCTCTACTTTTTTTCCTTGATTGATTAAGGTATTACATATGTTTCCTTATCCCCCCATTGCCTCCCACCTCCCCCGTTCATGCCCTCACCCCCCTGGTATTTGTGTCCATTGGTTATGCTTATATGCATGCATACAAGTCTTTCTGTTGATCTCTTCCCCTTACCCCTACCCTCCCATACCTTCCCTCTGAGGTTTGATGATCTGATTGATACTCCTCTGTCTCTGGATCTGTTTTTGTTCAGCATTTTATGTTGTTCATTATATTCCACAAATAAGTGAGATTATGTGATATTTATCTTTCTCTTACTGACATTTCACTTAGCATAATGCTCTCCAGGTCCATCATGCTGTTGCAAATGGTAGAAGCTCCTTCCATTTTATAGCAGCATAATATTCCATTGTGTAAGTGTACCACAGTTTTCTAATCCACTCACCTGCTGATGGGCACTTAGGCTGTGTCCAAATCTTAGCTAATGTAAATTGTGCTGCTATGAACATATATATCCTTCTGATTGGTGTTTCTAGTTTCTTGGGAAATATTCCTAGAAGTGGGATCACTAGGTCAAACGGGAGTTCCATTTTTAGTTTTTTGAGAAAACTCCATACTGTTCTCCACAGTGGCTGCACTAGTCTGCATTCCCACCAGCAGTGCACGAGGGTACCTTTTTCTCCACATCCCTGCTAGCACTTGTCATTTGTTGATTTGTTGATAGATATTCTGACAGGTGTGAGATGATACCGCATTGTTGTTTTGATTTGCATCTATCAGGTGATTAGTGACTTTGAGCATGTTTTCATATGGCTCTTGGCCTTTCTTATGTTCTCTTTCAAAAAGTAACATTTAGCCAAAACCGGTTTGGCTCAGTGGATAGAGCGTCAGCCTGTGGACTGAAAGGTCCCAGGTTTGATTCCAGTCAAGGGCATGTACATTGGTTGAGGGCACCACCCCAGTATGGGGTGTACAAGAGGTAGCTGGTCGATGTTTCTCTCTCATCGATGTTTCTAGTTCTCTATCCTCTCTCTTCCTCTCTGTAAAAAAATCAATAAAATATATATATTTTTTTAAAAAATAACTATTTAGGTTTGTTGCCCATTTTAAAAAATATATTTTTTATTGATTTTTTTACAGAGAGGAAGGAAGAGGAATAGAGAGATAGAAACATTGATCAGCTGCCTCCTGCACAATCACCATTGGGTATGTGCCCACAACCAAGGTACGTGTCCTTGATCAGAATCGAACCTGGGACCCTTGAGTCCACAGGCTGACACGCTATCCACTGAGCCAAACCAGTTAAGGTCTATTGTCCATTTTTGTGGGGGCTATCTTCCTTTTGTTAAGTTGTATGAGTTCCCTATAAATGTTGGAGTTTAAAATCTTATCGGTAATAACATTAGCAAATATGTTCTCCCATGCAGTGGGGTTGTTGTTTTGTTGATGGTTTCTTTTGCTGTGCAGAAGCTTTTTATTTTGATGTAGTCCCGTTTGTTTATTTTCTCTTTCATTTCGATTGCCCTAGGAGCTGATATTGCTTTGGCATATGTCTGATATTTTGCTGCCTGTGGATTCCTCTAAAATTTTTATGGTTTCCTTTTTAAGTCCTTTATCCATTTTGAGGGTTTTTTGTTTGTTTGTTTGTGGTATAAGTTGGTGATCTAGTTTCACTTTTATTCATGTATCTGTCCAATTTTTCCAATGCCATTTATTGAAGAGACTGTCTTGACTCCATTGTATGCTCTTGCCTCCTTTGTCAAATATTAATTGGACATAGTGCTTTAGGTCAATTTCTGGATTCTCCCATCTCTACTTTTTAAGAAAGTAATAATACTTTTAAAAGTTTTAAAATTACGTATATAATTTACATGGATAGATGGTGATTTCTGGAAGAATAAATAAAAAAACGCATTAACTGGTAACTTTTAAGGGATAGCTACCTTTTTGAATGGTTTAACTTTTTCCCACCTGCATGCTATTTTTATAATTGTAAAAACAGAGTCCCTGAATCTACATGGCTAAAGACTTGTTTTCTGTGCCAATCCTTAAAATCCTGTTTTCTGTGCCAATCCTTGATCTTTTTTTCAGCTACAACTAATCAGAACAGATTTCCTGGAGCATGAAAACCTAACTAGGTTCCCTACTAAAATATCCCAATTATGACTCAACTCAGTGGAGTATTTGCCTAAGCATTCCAGAATAACCAGGTTAGGTGATGTACACAGCTCTTTGACATGAGCAAGAAAACATT